TCTCGTGAGATAAGATAGTCATCCTAAATAAAACCCACAAAGAGACCAAAAGAAAGAATCTAGTGAAACTATTTACTACGTACTTTTGAAGCGGAGAAGTTCATTTCTTTGGAGCTCCCAAACCCATGAATAAGAATGATCTTGTAATTGGCTTCATCCTTTGGTACACCTGTCTCTTTATAAGCTAGGAATCCCCCATCCCGGAGCTTAATTCTGTCCATGGAATCTGAAACTTGATTCCTCTGTTTCCACAACTTGAGTTACACTTTGAAAGGACCTCACAATTAGTCGGAAGAATCAGAAGAGAAACATATCGGGCAAGAAGATGATGAGTTCGATTCTCGGAGGAAGCTGAAACTGTTTGGATGATCTGTTTTGGGTTTGTGAATATGGGATGAGAGAATGGTTTCTTGAGGAACAAGGATCGAAGAAGAAGAGGTAATTATGCTCCTTTTTCTTAGCTGATTCAAGTTTTGAAATCCAAGTCGCCTCATTTCTTGTATGATTTGTAAAAGTGTAGGATGTTATTTGATGATCTCAACAAGCTATAAACTTTTGCTTTTAATTTCTAAGTTTCTTTTTCATTTGGGATATCCGTATATTCCTTTATTTCAACTAGTACTTGATTGGCTTACTCTGTGTAAGCTTTAAAAACTTTCTTTGACACGTTTGCATATCAAGAGATATATTGTACAGTTTCAAGAATTCATTTTTTAAATAATTTTCAATTTCTCATTCTCTTTTATGATTAGGAAATCAAAATATTCAACTCTCAGTTTCTATAGAGATTGGCCATTTATCCACCTCTGAAACATGACAAAACTTTCCTCTGGTTTATATTGTGGTGTATGTGTTGGAATTCATAACGATTTATAACTATTTATAAATTATCAATTAAGAATTCAATTCACCAGGATTCGTGCAAATATTAAATTAGATCTAAACTATAGAGTTTGAATATACCTGGATATTCTTGCAGCGGAAAGATGGATTCAAATGATTCTAGGTTGCTTAGCACTCCAAGTGTCGTGTCTCTACTGATATCCACACGCACACAAACTGGATCTGACGGGATGCTAGTACCGTAGAGATCTAATCTCAAAACACTTGACTATCAAGTTAATTATCGGATTTACTTGCGTGAGAAGAAACCAATTTCTTCCTCACAATTCTTTCTGTCTCAGCTTGATTGAGTAATAGAAAACCCTAGTGTTAAATAATTATGTTTCTCTCTTACATCTTTCTCAAAGTTACGAGACATGTATATATATATTATTTGTCTAACCCTAATCCAATTAGGATTAGCCCACGTTAATATGGAATGGGCCTCTCCAATTCTAAATTGAACTCACATAAGCCATTTTTACGTGTATGATCA